TGATTTTTTTTAATTACAATTCAAGGGTCAGTTTTTAGGAAATTAATCAATTCGGTTTTGTTGCCTCGAGAAAAAATAATGGACTGCCTTTCCCCATCTCATGGTTTAGTAAAACTAACTTTCTTTTTTAAATATTCAATTAGAGAATTTTTCATGTCTAATGACGAAGAACTCTCATTGTCCCATCCCTCTTTCAATTCTGCCCGCAAACGAAGAACCAATCATTCTTGTAATTTTTCCCGTTCTATCAAGGGATTACGGGCAAATTTGTTTAGTAGTCTTTCTTTTTCTAGTTTGACTCGTAATTTTCGTATTTCTCAGCCATTATTAATCGTAATTCCGCCATTAGTCGCTAATAAAAAAGTCAAAATGATTAAACCAATATTGGCATATTTGATAAGCCTTCTCAATAATAAAAAGACGCATCTCGCTTGTCTCTTTCTCAATTATAAGGCAAAAATAAAAAACTCCTTCTAAATCTCCAAATTAAAATAATTAATCAAATATTTAATTACTCCGCCCTCGTGACTATCAAATTCGGTAATATCGTGAACGTAGGCTTTTAGATTATTAGCACTATTTGAGACCGCTACTCCCACACCCACTTTATTCACCATTTCAATATCATTAATGTCATTACCAAAAGCGATAGTGTTATTTAAAGAAATATTGTAATATCCCGCTACTAATTTGATTGCTTCCCCTTTGTTAGCATTGTAGTTACGAATTTTGATTATGTGTTTAGTAGGGTCAGGCACTAAAATCCTGTCTCCGGACGTTTTGGCTTGCAGTTTTTCTCCCCCATAAAAAGCAATGCTATACCTATATTTTCTTCTCAAAGTTCTTATTACCTCATCAATTAAACTTGTCTCATTAGGAAATTCAAGAACTAATTGTAAACAATCCTTATCTCCCAAATGCTGTAAAACATCACCCTTAATAAAAGGATTGCCGTTAAAAAAAACTTCTTGATAGTAAATATCATCACTAGTAGAAATAATTTCTTGGTCAATTGAGTCAACCATACAATTAATTAAGTTATCTTTGATGACTTTTTCTGACAATATTTTTCGGATGATAAAATTAGCAATAGGAATAGAGGCTAAAGTTTCTCTTTTGAAGGGATGATAAATAAGAGCCCCGTTATAGGCAATAATAAAAGTATCCAAACCTATTTCGTGGTAAATTGGTAAAATAGAAGGAAGATTGCGTCCGCTGGCAATGCCCACTCGGTGATATTTTTTTATTTTTTGCAAACCTTTCACAGTTTCTTTATCGGCATTAGTGTAATCAGGCAAGATAGTTCCGTCTAAATCTACTACGATATAATGTTCTTCAAATACTGTTGGTAATTCAGCCATATATATTATTTATTTCCGATAACTTTCCGATTTAACAGCAAATTACATCTTACAAGAGAAAATTACAATGATATTTTTATAGAGAAAACAGAGTCGTATAATTTAAATATCATTTTTCATGCTCTCAGTTAAATCAACCAAAATTAAAAAAATCTTTCGCCTTCACAGCAAGCCCTTACATGGTAATAATCGTTCTTTTTCCATGCGGGCCACCAAAAGAAAATTTGCCTCCAACCGGCAAAAATTTCTTGTTGGTGGGAAAAAATACTATATTCCTGCTAAACTATTTCGTGATTATTGGGCGAAGTTGAAAAAATCTCTTTAATTCTTATTCCGACTGTTTGCGGAATAACCAATTTATTTAGTTTAGCCATAACTTCGGTATTGGGTTCCAAAATTCATATTTTACGAATATGAGTTCTTTTCTCAAATTGCTCTTGGGCAGTTTTATGTTTATGAGGAGAAGTAAGCAAAGATAGGAGTTTTCTTTTAGTCGGGAAAGGAATGGGGCCGCGGCAAATTTTTTGCGTTTGCTTAATTTGTTGCATGATGGATTTAGTCGCTTCCTCTACACTCCTCGCGTCATAACCAAGAATAGTGATTTTCAACTGGTTCTTTTTTGTCATATTAAATAATTTTAGGAAAAATTGTGTGAAATTAACACTAGAATTAATATCTTGTTGTTTTTCTTCATCCTTTTATTCTGAAAATTCTTTCAAGGTTGGATATTAAAACTAATGCGAGAAGAAAAATAATTATCAATTTATTCCAGTAATTTATTTTTTCAACCGCAAACTCTTGTCTGGTCTGACATTTTTAATCTTTATTTTGCGGTCTTTTAGTAAAAAGAGAGCGAGCACTGGGTAAGTAGTTCAAAGAAGAACTGATTTGGAAGGTTAAAAAAGAAGAATTAAGACTATTTAAAGTTTTAAAACTTTAAAATAATAAGTATTATGGGAAACGAACAATCAACATCGTCAACAGAAACAGAAAACAATCGCGAAAATCAGCAGCAAAGGGCTCGTATTAGACAACTAGAAAACGAGATTGCTACCTTAAAAGTTCTTACTGAGTTGGAAAACCAGGAACTCACGACAAAAATTCAAGTGCCCCCCAAATAAAATGCATACTATGACAAATCCAATTCAAGAATTCGAAAATGCTCTTAAAAAATATAATGCTATTTCAGAATATTATGTTTTTCCTTACCATCAGAACCTAGAAAGAATTTTTTCCAATGAAAAAAAAGGGCGGGTTAAAAATAAAATTATCTCTTCACAATTACGGAACGATTTACGACAAATTGTTTCCGAAAAAGAATTTTTTTTCTCTTTCATTTCGTTTGAAGAAGTAGTTCGTCGGGTCAAATATAGCGAAGATTATGAAATTATCAGCAATGTTACAAAGTTAGAAAAGGTAGAGCCGTGAAGATTTGATTTTGTTAGATTTAAAAAAAAGTATTTCCGCCAAACCTTAGAAAAAAGTGCCTTTTTGAATGAATTGATTTTTGTAGAGGAAGAACAAGGAACAGAATTCTTTCTTCATCTTGGCTCGCTATTAAATTCAATAAGACGAGAAGAAAGTAGTAAGGAAATTCAGAAAATTTGAGAACCTTTTGATAAAAAATTTCTTGAACAATACGAAAAAGAACGGGAAAAGATAGAGTCATTAGAGTATGAAAAATTGAAAGCGGCAAGAAGAAATTCCATCACGGAGATAGATAATCTGTTAACCCCAGAAGAACAAGAAATTGTTTATTCCCACCAAATCCAAATAAATATTCCTTATTTGGAAATTTTACCTACCTATTGTAGTTGCGAAATACCTCCTAATTACATAATTACTTTTTTTGGACGGTTTTTTAATCGAAAAAAGAATAAAAAGAATTTTGTTGACAACTATTATCATACACACGAACAAATTCACTACAATCATATAAATTGTTGTCTAAAAACACCGGGGCAAATCAACGAATTCAAAAATCAAGTTATTGCAGCCATTCAAAAGGAAAGACCTATATTTAGTGAAACCATAAAGTCCATAATAATAAGTAAAGAAGAAGAAGAAGCCAAAAAGAAAAAACTTGAAGAACTTGAAAAAGCCAAAAAACTGCTTATACAGAAAGAAATTCAAAAATGAAAAACCCAAGGCTACATAGGAAAAATCATCACAATTCTTATTTTCGCAATACTAGGAATAATGACTATTGAAAAACTTTTTTGGAAAAAGACAAAAATAATTAAACAGAGTAAGAAAAATAACTATTAATCCATTCCAGTAATTTATTTTTTTCGACCACAAACTCTTGACTTTTTTGACAATCTTTAACTTTTATCTCTTTACGAAGTAAAATTAATAATCGGGGTTGATAATAAGTGATGATTTGTGAGATATTGGGTTTGGTTTTCAGTTCTAAATTATAATCAACTAAAAATTTTTTTTCCAATTCTTTTTTTCAAACCAAAATATCGGGTCAAAAATCTGAATTAAAATTTAAGAAAAAAATATCGATTCCTTTATTGATTTTCAATAAATGTTTTTCCTCGTAGTAATTTACTAACCGGTCAATTCCCACGGCAAATCCGATTGCTGGCAAATTAACGCCACTTAATTCTTGGGCTAAGCGGTCATAGCGACCACCCCCCACCAGAGTCTTTTCCTCTCCTAAATTAATTTCAAAAACTAATCCCGTGTAATAATCCAAGCCCCGTACTAAATGGTTATCATATTGGAAAGGAAAATCATTGGCTTCTAAAATTTTTTTCAGTTGTTGCCAGTATTTATCATCTTCTTCGCTTCAAGCAATTTGGTAATTAGGAAAGGCACTTTCCTTCCCACACGAGTTGCAGTCCAGTATCCGTAATGGATTATCATTAATTCTTCGTTGGCAGTCCGGGCATAAATTCGGTGTAGTTTGTGCTAAAAATTTTTTTAACTCTTGCTTATACTTTTCTTGGGTTGTCTTGTCTCCTAAGTAGTTTAGATGACAAGTAAACTGCTTAATGCCCCAACACTCTAAAATGTCCTGGATTAGTTTTAATATCTGGTAGTCCGCCATGACTCCCGCCGCGTTAACTAACTCTACTCCTAATTGCCAAAATTCCCGGTAACGGCCTTGTTGTGGCCGTTCATAGCGGAACATGTTGGCTCAATAGTAGAATTTTAGCGGATAACCGGTGGTAAAGAGACGGTTTTGGAGAATAAGTCGTATTGCCCCGACCGTTCCTTCCGGTCGTAACGCTAAATTTCGCCCCTTCCGGTCCGTAAAATTAAACATTTCTTTGTGAATAATGTCAGTAGTTGAGCCCAACGAAGTATTGAACAATTCCGTGTATTCGTAAGTAGGGATGATGATTGGTTGAAAATTATTTTGGTTCAGAACTATTTCCGCTAGTTGCCGTATTTTTTGGTAAAAAAAGGATTTAGGAGGATAAATATCACGTGTTCCTTTCGGACGATTACTTATTTTCATTTTTTTTACTTAATTTAAACATTTAGCGGAGAAAATTCGCCACTTATCCGCAAGGAACGCAAAGAATTTTTAAGAAATTAAACACAGTTTAGTGCTATGGCTCGCGAAAGAACTGAATTTTTCTCGTAATTTCAATTTGAAAAACAAATAATTATAATATTGCAAATATGTCTCGTTCCTTAAAAAAGCCTTTATACGTTAATGAAAAAATCCAAACTAAGGTGGAAAAAGCCAATCAGTTAGGAAAAAAAATTGTCTTTAAGGTTTGGGATCGGGCTTCAACTATCACTCCGGAAATGATTGACCACACTCTCCTTATTCATAACGGGAAAAAATTTCTTAGTCGCAAGGTTACTCAAGGTATGGTGAAACACAAAATTGGAGAATTTGCCCCTAGCCGTAAAAAGGGCGAGCATGGCAAGGCCGGCAGCAAACACTAAAAATGCATTAGCCAAAATAAATCCGCCCGTATCTTTGGCTCCTATTGAGGAGTAATCATTAAAAATCAACAATTAGTAAACAAGCGTATAGTTTATCATAAGGAATATCATAATATTATTAAAATTAATATTAAATAATATACTATGATATGGTCGTGAAATGTAATCAGGTGAGGTGCTGGAATTGTTGGTTTAGTAACACACTGTTCTTATACTAATCTAAATGGGCATGAAAGCATCAAGAAAAGGACGTGTAAAGTTCGTCGACCTATTTATTTTATTATTTCTTTCCGTTATTTTCTCTTTGTTTTGTGGATTAGTAATTACGTTTATAGAAAGTGTCGGTGAGAATTTGGGAAAAGTCCTTCTCGCTGACAAAAATTATGTTTTAGGAAAACATTTTGGGGGTCAACGTAGAAGGGGAGTAGTAATAAATTCTGCACTTGTTTTTCTTTTTTTTCTTTTTCTTTGTTTATTTTTTCCATTTATCTCAAAAAAAACTGATGGAGAGAAGATTTAATTGAATTCTTAACCGCCTTTCATTTAAAAAATGTTAGGAAAATTAGAACTAACTTGCTATTTTAGCAAACTTTTCCACAGCAAATCCAGATTCTTATTAATATACTTGTGTTTATTCTCTTCTAAATAGACTTTACTAAAATTAATAGTCTGGTCAATTATCATTTTTCGGACGCTAGAATTTTGAGTCCGCACTAATTCGCAGGCCGCAAAAACTAACATAGCTTTTTCGAGGGGGGGCAAGTGAAGAAAATCTCAGCCTTCTTTCAAATTCTGGGCAATTTTTCCTTGTAAATGACTTTCCATTTCCAAACAATTGCTTAATCAAGCAGACCGCTCTTGGTCTTTGCTGGTTTCCAATCTTGTTTTGTCAACTTCGCCTAGTAAATAATATTGGTAAAGCAGAAAAATCTTTCTCTTATCAAGACGAAACATGAGCAACTTCAACAAAAGTCTTTCCTCTTCTCCCCTGAAAATACTTAACTTGACCATCAAGTCCAGCATGAATAGTATAATCCTTACCAAAATAAACGCCTTTGCCTAATTGGTATTTACTTCCTCGCTGACGCAAAATGATATTGCCGTTTTTAACATATTCCCCCCCAAACTTCTTTACTCCTAAATTTTTGGGATTATAGGACTTATGACTGCGATTAGTAGCCGCCGAACCCCCACCCTTTTTCTTGGCAAAAAATTGTAAATCTAATTTAAACACTGTTATTTTTAATTATTATAAAGTTGATAAATGTCTACTAAATAGAAAAAGCGAGAGAAAAGGGTCTGCCCGGCAGTTGAGGCGACATCCTAAAAAAATATTTTTTAATTGCGGTTTTAAACTCAAAAATCATACAAATTATATAAGTGAATGACAACAAGAGAAAACCAACAATTACAAAAAACTACTGTCCCCTCCTTGCCTTTTCAGCGGTCTTGGTTCTTTTTAGATTTGCGAGGTTTGGTAATCGGTAGGGCGGCTACCCGAGTTGCCACAGTTCTTCGCGGAAAAAACCGAGTAGATTTTTTTCCTAATCTAGATTTAGGAAATTATGTGGTCTTAATTAATGCCCAACACCTAACTTTTACCGGTCGTAAGTTAGACAATAAGTATTACTATAATCATTCCGGATATCCTGGGGGACTACGCAAAAGAAGTGCTAAAATAATGCTTAATAATTACCCTACCGAATTAGCCAAAAGAATAATAAAAGGTATGATGCCTCATACCAAACAGGCTCGCCAACAATTAAAAAGATTGTTTATTTATCCGAGCGATACTCACCCTCATCAAGCCCAAGAAAAAAATTTTATTGCTATAAAAATCTAAAAAAAAGATATGGTTTGAAGTAAAATTCTTGGAGAAGCCCAGTGGATATTTTTATACCTCAACTTTCTGGCTCTCTTTGTTTCCAAAATCTTTTGTATCGTTAAACACAAGAAAAAAAACGGAATTACTTGGTGAGAACTGCTGCTGACTATTATTTCTGCCTTCTCTTCGATTCTTATCCTTATCTTCTTTTTTTCAAGATTAATGAACTTAATTAATTAATCTTATTAATTCCTTCTTTTCACATAAATCTTCCGCATTTTTACACAAATTCTACAAGATTTTTCATCATGATTTGGTAAAGAGCGACAATGGAGTTTACTTTCATTATCTTTGAGTCCGTGTTCCATAATTTTGTAATTATTATAATCTTACTTTCACTTTTAATAGTATTTCTTCGCACTCAGGAGCATAAAGTTTCTTAATTTCCTTTAAAAAATTAGTTAACTGTTTTTCGGAGAAATTTGGATTTGAGTTTGTAAAAAGGCTTCATAGTCTCGTGTTCTGATTGCTTTTTCTTCCTTCTTTGTCTCTAGTTTCTTCCTCTTTCTTTTTTTGTTTCCTTAAATTACAAATTTCCCGGGAATCTTTACATTTTCATTTGAGCGAGTGTTTACCATTTTTGTCGTAAAAGTTTATTCACTTTCCTTTTCCTATTTGTCCGCAATTAAAGCAAACTTTTTCGGCTATTCCCTTGGGAACTAAATAACAAACACTTTGACCGCCTTCGGATAAACTTGGTAAGCCGTTTTCTTGCCTACATTGATTTATTTCTGGTAGACTTTCTGGTTTATAAAATGTTTTTGGGTTAGGAGGATTAGGAAAAAGGTTTTCGTTAGACTTTGTCATAACAAAATTAATTTTATTAATTTTTGTTTTAAAAATACGCAAAAATAAATTATGAGTAATAGTGATAATGAATTAGAGCAAGTTTTAAAATCCGGTAAGGTTAAACTTTCGGAAGTGGAAAATAATGCCGGTAAAAGAGTTAAAGAATTAGAGGAAAAAGTATTAGAATTAAATTTACACAACACAAAGCCAAGGATAAGCAAAAAACTAAACAAAAAGTTATTAAATAACACGAAAAAACAAGCGATTAATATGAGAAACTTTATATAATTAAAGTGAGGGGATGTGTGTTTTGACTTATTGGGGCGATAATTATGGCAATACAGAATAATTGTTAAAACGATTATATCTAAACAAAAAAATCAAAAAAATATATTTGAAGCTCCGGCTTATTGACTAAACAGCAAAGCCGGATGCAATTACGCTTACGCTAGTGCGGCTGCGGCTGCGTAAAGCGTAGTTCTTAACCATTCGCTCTCTTCGGTGGTTTCGTAGATAGTTAGGAGAAGCAGTTAACCAAGTTTGGTTGTTTGCTAGTTGATTGCTGAGAAAAAAACAATCTACTCGACTCGGTATTGGTCAGTTAATACTCCAACGAGGAAACTAATAATTGACTAAGTTGTAGAAGTAATTATTAACTCAGTAAGGACATGGGTTCAATCCCATCATCTCCACCATTTATGGAGTCCACCATTTTTGTTGACAAAAGAGGCATTGAAGTATCGTATAACACCGCTATTTAAGAAGTGGAATAGTGAGATATTTTCATGGCCTCATTGTTTTTATCAACAAAATAACGAGAGAGAGAGAGAGAGAGAGAGAGAGAAATTAAAAATATAATAATAGTAATAATAAAATCAATCGTGGAGTTTGTTTTCGGTAGTTCTCCTCAAAAACCACTTCACAATAAAGTCAAAAATAAATATTGTAAATATAAATAAAATAATGGTAGAAAATCAAAAAGAAGAATATTTAGAAAAAAAATTGTATAAGAGGTGAATTATTATCAACACTGTGTTGATTGTGTTGTTAGGTCTAGGTTTGGGAGGTTATACTGCTTACGGTCTTTCGAAGAAACAAAACAAAGCGTATTATTTTGTGGCAAACAATCCAAGAATGCAAGACTCTTCTAGCAGTAAGCAACCTTTTCAAGGTGGCCAAGAACATACTTCCACCACATCATCTGCACAATAGGTGGTAAATTTTAATAAAGAACTGATAGCAGTTATTTTCAAAAAATAATTGAGGAAAGTCCGTACTCGCACTTGCTGGAAAGCAAGTAGTGTTAGTGCTAGACCGAATAAGTCTAGGTAGGACTTTTTAAGTCCTGACGGCTGGCTGATTAATCTAAGTGTTAAGAAATTTTAACATATGGTTATCAAGTCTATAAAAGTGCCATAGAGACGAGTAAGCGGGAAACTGCGGAAGTGAGACGACGTAAACCCCACTAGCGAGCAATCCAAATACAAAAAAGAAAAAATGGTAGGAGCAGTGAAGCGAGAGAATAATAATCTCAATTCGCTAATTCCCTCCGGGGGATTAAGATAAATTATCAGTTAAAACAGAATACGGCTTATTCTTTATAATGATTTAAATTAAAAATATTAAAACAAATAACATGGTATTGAAAAATCAAGACCTAACCAGTAAAAACGAAAAATATTTAGGGGAAACATGAAAGTGAGGAATTATTGTTAATTTAGGTTTAACAGTGTTGACAATTGGTTTAGTATCATACTGCCTTTGGGCTCTTGGAAAGAAAGAAGGACAAGTGATTGATGCTCGTGGAGATTCCACAAACGAAATGTTATTTAGTTCTAGGGACCACCACTACGAACCGTATGAACCGGTCACGATTGAAACACGGAGTGGTGATAGTGATTATGTAATCAGCCACGAATAAAAGGTAAGGTAGTATTTTGGCGGCGGGGAGGCGTAGTTCAATTGGTAGAATGCCAGTCTCCAAAACTGGGCGTTATGGGTTCGAGTCCTGTCGCCTCTGCCAGAAGAGTAAAAATATATAATATGAATCAGGTGTTTACTGGCACAGTAATTAGTTTGAAAAATGCTAAGACGGCCGCAGTAGAGTTAGTTTTTAATTATCTCCATCCTAAATATCATAAACCTATTCGGAGAAAGAAAAAAATTCAGGCTCATTACGAAAAATATGATTTGAAATTAGGAGATAAAGTAATAATTAAAAGTAGTCGGCCTTATTCGGCCATTAAGAGATTTCTAGTAATTGAAAAAATAAGCGGAGAAGGGAAAAATTCAGTCGTGGTTGAAAAGGAGAAGGGCGAAACAAGCAAAGAAGCTAAAAATAGTGACGAACGAGAAAAATCTAATTAGTGATGAGAAAGGAAAAAGTGTGGTTGCGGCCAGAGAAAATCTCAATTCGGTTGGAGAATGGGCGAAAACTTATCTAACCAAAGATAATTTTTGGACGCGGGATTTTCCCACGACGGCTTCCTCAGCTTTTTTGGTTAATTTTTGTCCTAACGAGGATGCTACTGTGATTAAGTTATTAAGAGAAAAGGGCTACCGATTACTAGGAAAAACGGCTTTGGATGAGTTTGCGTGCGGAGGAGTAGGGCTTTATGCGGCAACCGGACCGATTTTTAATCCCCACCATCCTGGGCGAGTGGTGGGAGGTTCCTCGTCAGGTTCGGCAGCAGTAGTCGCCCAGAAAATTGTCCCCTTTGCCTTGGGACATGATACTGGCGATTCAGTGCGGCGTCCAGCCGCTTACTGTGGTCTAGTCGGGTTCAAGCCATCTTACGGACTAATTTCCCGTTATGGGGTTATCCCAATGGCTTCTTCGCTAGACACAGTTGGCATTCTAGCCAACAAGGTAAGCATCGCCCAGGAAATTTTTACGATTTTGGCTCAACCAGACCCTTACGACTTAATAACTACCACTAAAAAAAAATTTTTGCGACCGCCAGGACGAAAGAAAATCGTGACCATTGACGGGTTAGAGAAATTTTTGCCTCCCAAATTAAACAAACTATACAGACAAGCCCAAGAGAAACTAGAAAAATTAGGTTACAGCATCACCAAAATAAACATTCCTCCTCGTCTCCGTGATAACTTACAACTCACTTACTTGATATTGTGTTCGACTGAATTAGTTAGCCACCTCAACTCTCTCCAAGGGATAACTTACGGGCCGCTTGATGAAAATGAAGAGATTGCCAAAAAAAGAAGCGACGGCCTGGGACTAATAGTCAAAGAACGTTTATTAATGGGGGCTTATTTTCTGGACGAAAAAGGATTGTTAGCCAGAACCCAAAAAATGCGTCGTTTAATAGACAACTGATTAAAAAAAATCTTTCGGGATTACGATTTTTTAATTTTTCCTAGCACTAATAGTCCGGCTCCACGGGCGGCAGATTTTAACCATTCTTTTGCCGGATTAACATCTTCCCATTGGAGCGATAATTTATTGCTCCTAGGCAACTTAGCCGGTTTACCGTCGCTAAGTTTGCCTTTGGGAATAGTTGACGGCTTGCCGGTCAACATTAACCTTGATAGCAACTACGGACAAGACCAATCAGTTTTACAATTAGCCACTGAATTGGAAACTGAACTAGCAAACATTTAAAAAAATTTATAGAGATAGTTTTATAAATTAAATTTTTTGCTGGAAAGAAACACTTTTATCGTTTGGTTTTTCTTGTTTACTCTTTCAAGGAAAAAATGCTATCACTTTAAAAGACAAAAAAGGCGAAGAAATAAAAAATAATTATTATGACTAATGCCCGAGAATGACTAGATATCAATATTCCTTTGAACCAAAGGATTAATATTAGGAAATTACTAATTTGCTCAGTTTCTCAACGCAGATGCCACGATTTTGGAAGAGAATTCGGTCATTTGTATGAACACATAACCAACAACTACTACTTAGAAATTCCGTTGACGGGGACTATGAATTTGTCAACTTTTCCTAATTTAGAAGAGATAGTGGTGGAAGGACATTTTATAAATTGTTTAGTCCTGGCCGGATGTTCTCGTTTAAGAAAAATCCATGCCAGCAATAACTTGTTACGAGCAGTTGTTTTTCCTCATCGAGCACCCGAGATAGAGGATATTCTGTTAACTAACAATAATTTTTGCGAGCAAAATCTGTCTAGTTTCACTCGTTTTCCCCGATTACACAGACTATTTTTGGGAACCGATAACGCTGCTAGAATAAGACAAGGAATTTATAATCGTTGGTATGGTTCGCTTATCCATTTGTTGACCTTAACCAGATTACAAGAGTTAGATATTAATGCCACCGATATTAACTCTGGTTTAAAATTTTTACCTACCGGGGATTTGATTTTTTTTACTTTTGGTGATAAAGGCCGAAATAACGCCAGAGTAAACATCTTAAGGACCGAAATAGAAGATTATTTAGCATTAGAAGAAGGGGAAACAATGGAACAATGAGCCAGCAATGAAGAATTTGAGGCTAATATAGGCAAAGTAGAAGATATTCGTAGTTGACAACAGGATCAACAACAAACGCAATTTTTTGCTAGATTAGAAACAAGAGGACGAGAGAATTAAAATAGGAATAGCCGCAAGTAGTGTTTTTATTTATCATTTCCCCACTTAACTTTGAACACAGTGTTAAATTAACATACCAAGCGTTTCTCTCCATAATTCAACCAAGAAAACATACCTCTTTCCCCAGAGATATTTTAGATAAAGTAGCAATTGTCACCAAAAATTAAACCAATGAATGAAAAATTACTAAAAGCCTTAATTTTTGATTTGCTTTATAGTCGGTATTACGGAGTAATTGTTTATGTTCGGATTTTTCGGGGCGAATTAGTCAAGGGACAAAAAATTAAGTTTAGTCGCAGTCAAAAAATATACCAAGTAGAAAGATTGGGAGTGAAAACGCCCCAGGAAGTTTTAAAAGAAAGATTAGGAACGGGCGAAATCGGTTGGTTTACCGCCAATATTCGGGATATGCGAGAAGTAAAAGTAGGCGAAACGGTGCTAGATATTAATAATGATTCTCCGCCGTTGGCGGGTTATCAAGAAAGCAAACCTAACGTTTATTCTAATTTGTATCCGGGTGATAGTTCGCAGTATAAGGAGTTTGAGAAGGCGTTGGTCGAATTACAAGTCCAAGATAGTAGTTTAAGTTTGGAAAAGGTTGACTCCCAATTATTAGGTCCGGGTTTCCGTTGTGGTTTTCTCGGCTTGCTTCATCGAGAAATCATTTGTGAGAGAATGCAAAAAGAATATCAATGCGAAATAATTATTACTCCTCCCAGTATTATTTACCGGATAACTTACCAAAATGGTAAAACTGCTGAAATTGTTAATCCGCAAAAAGTTCTTCCGAGCCAGAAAATAAAACTCATTGAAGAGTTGATTATTTCTTGTCTTATCACCACTCCATTAGAATATTTGGGAGCAATATCGCAATTATGCCAAAATAAACGCGGGGTTTGTCAAGACCAAAAATGACAAACCAGCTCGTTATGGCAATTGCATTATCATTTGCCGTTAGGAGAATTTATTCTTGATTTTCATGATAAAATCAAATCAATCACCCACGGCTATGCTTCCTTTAACTACCAAATTATTGGTTTTCGTCCTAGCAAAATCGTAAAAATAGACCTGTTATTAAACAAGCAAATAGTCGCAGATTTGTCTTTTTTTGTTCACGAAAATTTTGCCTACGAGCGTGCCCGCTTACTTTGCGAAAAATTAAAAGCCACCCTTAATCCCCAGAACTTTGTGGTGCCTATCCAAGCCTGTATTGGCAACAAAATAATTGCTCGGGAAACTTTGCCCGCCTTAAAAAAAAATGTTACCGCTAAACTTTATGGTGGAGACCACACCCGCAAAATGAAATTATGAGCCAAACAAAAAGCCGGCAAGAAAAGAATGCAAGAACATGGCGAAGTCCGGTTAGGAGCCGGAACGCTCCGGGAAATCTTGCGTAACAGCAGTTATAAATAGAGAGGATATTGTCTCACTTAATTTTTCACTGGACGAAAAAAGAAAAAAAGTGGTAGAAATTACATTCACATACGGTCAACTCTTTCTTAACACTCCTCACCTAGTTAAAAAGAAAATTCCTGATGACGCGGATTTTTTGAAAGATACAAACGGGATTTTCTTTGACGTTTAATTGTAAAGGCGAGGGAGGGGAGGGAAATGTTTTATGGCGAGGAGAAGAAATATAGTGGTGGTAAATTTTTTGGTAGCATTGACGATTATTTTGGTCCCAAAAAAAGTAATTCTGGCAACTAATAATTAGTCAAAATTTTCGTTCCCGAGTGCAAAGAGTAATCAATTGCTTTTCCTGCTCGCGTAACATTTCTCGGCAATAATCACTTACATGACGCAGAGGAAAATGATAAGTAATGAAATAGGTTTCAACTTCTTCCTTGTTTCATCCGGTTAGTAGACTTATTTTGTTAACTAGAAAATACTTAATATTAGTCTTGAAAGAGGCAAAAAGTCGGGCCACTTCCTCGATAAAACGGGTAACGCGTTGGGGATTATCAGCAATTTCTCATTGGTGAAAATGGTAATTCAGAATAAAAAGATAAGGATTTTGGCGAGTTTGGAGAATATCAAGCACTGTCTCGCGTTCGTGGTAACCACAAATTTCGTCGGGATCGCCTTGGTAAGGATAATTTATTATTTCGCAGTCGATTTCATTTTCCAACAAAGCAAGGGTGATATTAATCGTGGCTTCCCGACCGGCTCGGTCGCCGTCTAAAAAAAGAATAATGCGTTTTTTTAGTTGGCGTAACAAATGTATTTGTTTGGTTGAACAACTGGTTCCTAAGAGAGCCAAGCAATTTTCCACTCCTAATCCAGTCAAACCAATGACATCAAAAAAACCCTCAACTAGATAACATTCTTCCGCTCGGCCCGAGTGAACGATCGGATAATTGTAAAGTAAAGTTGATTTTTGGTAAGTTTGGTAATTAGGCAAATAATTATATTTACTTTCGCTGGAACCAACTGTTATTTTTCGACTCGCAAAGGCTATGATTTTCCCGTTTTCGTTGGTTAAAGGCAAAATTAATTGCTGAGCAGCAAAATAATCGTAAACTTGATTATTATCGTTAATTTGCACTAAGTTGGTCCGAGACAAGTTGGTTGAAAATTCTTGGACAGAAAAAAGTAAACTAGTTAATTGTTTATTACTAATGCTGCAACCCAAAGAAAAGCGGTCAATCAATTGGGGAGTTAATCGGCGTTGAGTTTGGAGATAATTAAGCGTTTCTCGGCCCTGAGAAGTTAATAAATTATGTTGATAAATATCTTTTACTAAGGAAAGCAAATCATTAAGTCGGTCTTCTTCGGGTTCTTCTTCTTGTCAATCTGCCAAAGAAAAATAGCCGAGTTGACTGATTTCTCGGGCGGCTTGTCGGAATTCCGTAGCCGTTATTACTTTTACTCCTTTCCGGTATTTAATTCAAAATTCAAAAATATTACGAGCCGAAAAGCCACAAGCGAAACACTTAAAAAATTTTGCTTTGGGTTCAAAACATAATGAAGGGCTCTTATCATCATGAAAAGGACAAAGAAAAAAAATATTTTTTCCTCTCTGACGGAGCGAAAATTGGAAATGAGTAGTCAGTAAATCAAGAATACTATTAGTATCCATCAATTCGTTATATTTCATTAAATTGTTTTATTTCTCATCATTTTGCTTAATAAGAAAAATCATAGTTTTTAAAAAATAGAAATGCTAACTTAACCACCAAACTATTTGAGAAACAACAAAATCGGCAATTCTTCTAATTCTATATCGTGTTCGCTGCCGAGATAACTTTTTACCAATTCGTTACAACGTCTTTTGACTGCTTCTTTAATTATTTTGGCCGAATCTTCTTGGTTTAGCCCAAAAGTTAACTTTTCCTCTCATCAATCTTTTATTTTTTTTTCTAATTTGGGAAGATTTACCGAGGGATTAATCCCCAAAAGTTCCAGTCGCAGTTTTTTTAAAATTAATTTTTCTTCTTGCCAGTTAACCACAAAAAAAATAATTAACAAGCCTTCCTCTTGTAAATTTTTCCGTTGCTTAATTAGTATTTCTTCTAAGGTAGCCAGAGTTTTTTTTACTTTTAAAGGAATTGTTTTTTGGTCGGGAAATTGGTAAGCATGATGATTAGGCAGAGTTAAAAATGGTCCAGATAAATAGGGCAGGAATTTAGCATTTTTATAACTATTTTGTAGTAAGATAATACCCTGTGGATTAACCAAAGAGATTAGTAACCTTCAATCGGATAAACTAGTCCGAAAGTTAAAATATTCTTTCTTACTTAGATTGGTTACTTCTTCGCTCTGAGTGTGAAGATAATCAACTAATTCGGCTAAACTTTCTTCTTTGCCTATTACCGGCGGAATTCCTAGCAGGAAGTGAAAATTAGATTTTTGTTCGACCGGAAAACCTTGCAAATAATAATCTATTTCAGTCTCGATATTGTTATGATTAATGACTAATAAAATAATTTCTCCTTCGCTACTTATAACCTGCCCTAACGAACTTTTAGCTAATATTTGTCGCACTAACAAAAGAAATCTTTCGTTAAGTATCCGCACTTTTTTTCGGCGTTGACGAGACAAAATCAACAGTTCTAAAATATGAAGTCAATCGAATTCATAAAGAATTCAAAATTTAGTTTTCTCGGGAGAAAAAAAAGTATCCGTTACCGCAAAAAGTGAATTATTAGTCTGTCAGCGAATATTAGCAAAACTAGTAATTAAATAACTAGTTTTTTTTCTTGATGCCAAAAAGTTATTAAATTCGGTTAAAAAACAAGAAGGAAAAAGTAATTCATTATTTCAGTAATTATTTAAAAGAACATCTTCTAGCAGATAAAAACTATACTGTGAATGGTGGAAAACAACAGCACAATTGCCTAGCAAATAACCAGGGAGAGGAAAGAAAGAACAAGTAAAATCACCAATCAAGACGGGTGGTGAAGCCGCCGTCATAACTACTGTTCGGTTTTTTATCTGGGGATAAAGGTAATGTAAGATTAACTTGCTATGAACACTAGTATAAATGGGGATTTGTGATCCTAAATCTTGGCAAATCTGAGTTAAAAAGCCAGTATTGCGAAAAGTAGTATTGTTAACAATAATTCCTTGTATTTTATCCCGATTTTCTTTTAGATAACTACAACCTAATTGTTGCTCTTCCGAGCCAGAAAGAGCATAATCTTGCCCAGCGGCTAAAATAATAATAGTTTTTTCGCTTTCCAACGCCGAAAAATTACCTTCATTTTCATTGGCTCCGCGAAAAAGTAAAAATCTTATATTCATTATCTGGTAACTGTTATTTTTATTGCATAACTCCCGTTTTCGGTCTGAACCGCACTAAACTCACCAATCTTTTTGTTCGTTAAAGCTTTCCCTAACGGACTGCTATACGAAATCTTGTTTTGGGCAGGGTCGGCTTCTCATTCTTCCGTTAACTCGACACTTTTTTCTTGTCCGGTCGTCAACAAAAGATAACTAATAAATTTATTTTGCTTATTATTTAATTCTAGTTGCGTAATTTTTCTTTTCAAGTAGGTTATCTCTCACTGACAAGAGGCTAATTTTTCCTGAATTGATTGTCGGTCAGCGTCTTCGGAAACATCATGAGCCCCAATCGTTTTTAATTTGTCCAATAATAAAGCGTGCTTTTTCTCTAACTCGCTTAATTTTTCTGTTCAATCTTTTTTCGTTTTTGTCATAAATAGTTATTGTGAAAATTGTTAAAAGTATTAATAAGGTAGTCTAGTAATCAATAGTCAAAAAAAACAATATTACTTAATCATTATATATCAAAATCAAGGTTTTTTGTTAGTAAATATTTTTAATTCTCTCGAAAGCATTTGATAATTTGGGCGATTAAAAAACTTTATGACCGAAGAACAGCAAAAAAAAGTTGTTATTGGATTAAGTGGGGGGGTTGATTCGGCAGTTGCGGCTCATTTATTAAAAAAACAAGGCTACAAAGTGAAAGCAATTTTCATGCAAAATTGGGACAATTATTTAGGCGGACAATCTACTGAAATCTGTTCCCAAACTCAAGATTGAAATGATGCGGAAAAAGTGGCTAGTTTGTTAGATATTTCCTTACAAAAAACAGAGTTTATTCGTGCCTACTGAGAAGAAATTTTTACTAATTTTCTCTCCGACTTAAAAGAGGGGCGTACTCCTAATCCGGATATTTTGTGTAATGGTGTAATTAAATTCCATTACTTTGTAAAACATATTTTTCAGACCTCAAAAGTTAATTATGTTGCTACCGGTCATTATGCTAAAATTACTTTTGAGAACAGTAATTATTATTTGAGTAAGCCCAAGGACCAAGACAAAGACCAAACTTATTTTCTGTGCCAAATTTCCCTTAATCTCTTGCCAAAATTAATTTTTCCCTTGGCTGACTTAACCAAGAGTGAAGTGCGTCAGATAGCAAAAAGGCTAAGATTGATTAATGCCGAAAAAAAAGATTCAACGGGCATTTGTTTCATCGGTGAACGAAAATTCACCAAATTTCTTACTAATTATTTGCCCCGACAACAAGGGGAAATAATAGATATTATTAGTCGAGAAAAAATTGGTCAACATTCCGGAATTGCTTATTTTACGCTCGGGCAACGCAAAAATTTAGGTTTGTCGGGACAAAAAGAGCCTCATTATGTAGTTGCCAAAGACCGGAATAAGAACGTGATTTATGTGGCAAGGGGTTGGGATAATCAGTGGCTTTACTCGGGCTGGTGTATAGTAAAAAATATTAATTGATTAATCCCAGAGCAAGAGTTAAGTAAATATACTGTCGGGCCAAAGATAACCGCTAAGTTTCGTTACCGGCAACCCGAAGTTTCCGTGCAACTTTTTCTGTTAGGAAATAGACACGAATTAAAAGTTGTGTTTACCGAAAAACAGCGGGCCATTACTCCCGGCCAGTATGCTGTTTTTTATTCGGAAAATCTTTGCCTGGGCGGGGGAAAAATCTGAACTACAGAAAAAGTTGATGAGTATTGTCAACCAATATTAGCGACCAAAAACCGCTAAAATCTTGATTATTAAAAAAGACTGCTGGTGGAGCAACTAAATTTCATGCGTATCACTGACTCTAATTTTTTCACGGTGAATGCGGTCGAATTAGCCCAAAAATTACTCGGGAAAATTTTGGTGCGAAAAATTAACGACCGGATTATTAAAGTTAAAATTGTCGAAACCGAAGCCTACATGGGATTAACCGATAGAGCCTGCCATTCTCATCAAACTAATCGGTCACGAAAAAAAGCCGCCGCTTTGTATAATCGCGGCGGCTGCGTCTACGTTTTTCTTATTTATTATCGATATTATTGTTTTAATATTTCTTCTTCTCAGGCTGGCGACCCCCAAGGAGTTTTAATTCGGGCCGTTGAGCCACTCGACCACCACACTATCCCTGTTATTTCCCATCACGACAAGAAAAAAAAACAGCATTATTATACCAATGGCCCGGGTAAATTATGTCGGGCTTTACAGATTGACCTTAGCCTGAACCATCTTGATTTAACCACTAACAATTTAATTTATTTAGAAGACCAGCCACCGCTTACCGCAGAAGAAATCATTGCCACCGCGAGAATTAACATTGACTACGCCAAGGAGGATAAAGAACATTTATGACGCTTCTATATCAAAAATAATCCTTTTGTTTCCCGGAAATAAAATCTTTTGGAGATTGGTTTTGTCATGCTTGCTATTAATTTCTAATTCTCCTTTCCCTGTTTTTTCTTTTTTTTTGAAACGAAAGATTAATAACAAAAAAATAGCCAGTCAAAAAGGAAAAACAATTGACAAATAAGGAAATTCCCAAGTTAATTTATTAGGCAGAGAGGTTTCTTTTTTGGAAATGGTGATATTTTTTGCCTTTGGCTGACGATTAGTAGCAAAATATTCTTCTTTTATAGTAGGTAAGGGCGTTGCCGTTGTTGAGGCGCTCTTTCTCATGGGCTGCGAAAACAAGTTGGCCGATTTGGGAACGGGGGCACTAGAACGCCGTTTTTTTGGTTTCGTTACCAGAAAAGCTAAGGCTTCCAGTTTAACTTTGCGAAAATTTTCTAATTTGTCCTGAATAACTAGAAAACATTCCCAAAAATGGTTTTTTTCTTCTTGTAATTGGACTACTTTTTGGCTATATTCTTCAGCCTTTTCAGCAAACGATTCCACTCAGTAATTTTCGCGTTCTTCTCATTTTTCTTTCCATTTATCCCCGTATAAATCCAGAAATTTTTGGGCAATCTCGTTCGGGTCATCAACTTGACTTTTGGCCCGTGAAGAGGAAGCGTTTTGGGCATCGCTTAAATCGTCTTGCAATTTTCTAATTTCCTCGGCAGCTTGGTTTAATTTTCTCTCTTTGATTGCCAGTTCAGATTTCAGACTTTGCACTTGGCCCACAAGGGCTTGGTAGGAACCCGTTAAGTTATCTAATTCTTTTTTTTGTCTTCTACTTAATTTTCTTTCTTCCCCGATTTTCGTTCTTAAATTGCTGATTTCGTCGTCTTTTCCTTGTTGAGTTTCCACTAATTTTTGTATTGCCTTGTCCTTTTCTCCTGATTCATTTTTTAGAATATTTATTACTCGCTTTTGGTCGTAAATTTCCTGACCATAATCAGTTAATAACTCTTGGAGCGGAGCCAAATCTAACGGGTGGACTTCGGAATTCAAATCTCCTTCATCTTCAAAAATTTCGGGTTCGGTTCGGTCCTTGCTTTTTTTCTGTCACTGACCGATAAACCGGGCTATTTGTTTCTGATAATTAGCAATCTTTTCCTTTTCTCATTGGTTAGCCGCTTCTAGTAATAAATTAATATTCTGATTACTGCTTAACTCAATCAAAGTTGCGAGATTTTTCGTAACGGCATCTAATTTTTGCACCGCTAATCCCAACAATGCTTTTTCTTCGGCAACCGAGCCGCAATCGACAATATTTAATGGTAATTGTGAACCATGACTTTCCAGTTGAGAAACTAAAATTGTTTGCAATTTTTCGCTCCGACCAACTATTTCTCAGAGAGCGATAACATTATCCTCCACCTGACTAACTTTTTGGTCTAAATTTTCTAGTTCGAACAAATGATTATATTTTTTGTTAAAAAAGTGGAGAAAACTGACTCAACATTGATCAATAATAGTCCTCGGGACAGAATTTCTTTCTCCTGGCGGAATAGAGAGTAAAATATCATCGAGATTAAATTCTGGTGGGGCAATTCTCTCTCTCTCTCTCTCTCTCTCTCTCTTTATCAACCCTCTTATTATGAATTTTATTTCGGCGATGTTGGCGATATTCATAACTTAATTTTACTGTTGAAAGACTGCTTTTTGTTCGGTTTTTCGTCCGAAATCAGCAATTTAAGAACGAAAATCGGGGAAGAAAGAAAATTAAGTAGAAGACAAAAAAAAGAATTAGATAAC